GGGTTAAGAGTTTTTTTCTTTATAAGGGATAGATTAGTAATGGTATGTTTGCCTTTTCTTAGAATAATGGGTAGCTATGTAGGATATAAAGAAGACCAGGATGTTCAGCTTACTCCAGGAGATCATGCTGTTGCTGGTGCTGTAAGTGGAATGGTCACTCGAGCTCTTATCCAGCCCCTTGATGTTCTTAAAATTAGGTTTCAGGTAAATACAAATGCAGGTCTCCTTTTAGAAGATGTTGCAAAAATCATAAGAGTATTAAGTGAAGAATATTGATATAAGGATTATTTTCATATTGTTAAATGAGTTGAAATGATATTACTGTATTAGATGAAAGTGAACTTAAAATTATGTACTTGAATAACAGAAATTTTTCCTTATTAAAGACAATTCATTAAGGCTTTAAGTATTATGCTTTGGTATTTAACTCACATTTTCATATTTCTAAAAGCTGCAAATTGAACCAACCACGAGGCATGGCGGAGGGCTGTACCATGGGATTTTCCAGAGCCTATTCACAATTGCAAAAAATGAAGGTCCTTCAGCACTCTGGAAAGGGCACCTTCCAGCTCAAGCACTAAGTGTTGGATATGGTGTTGCACAGGTAAGATAATTTCTTAGTTTTCTAAAATGTAACCAAAGCTATATTACAAGGCATAATGATAGTCTTTTTTATCATCATATAAACCATATATATATATGTGTGTGTGTGTGTGTGTGTGTGTGTGTGTGTGTGTGTGTGTGTGTGTGTGTGTGTGTGTGTGTGTGGATTTATTTATTTGTTTATTTATTTATTTATTTATTTATTTATTTATTCATTTATTTATTCATTCATGTATTCATGTATTCATGTATTCATGTATTTATTTATTTATTTATTTATTTATTTATTTATTTATTTATTTATTTATTTATTTATTTATTTATTTATTTTATTACTTTCAGTTCTGGAGTTATGCAGTTCTTACTAAGGCAGCAACTGAGCATGGTTTCCCTCATGGATTGTGTGGAGGACTTGCTGGAGTTTGTGGAACGTTGCTATCCATGCCATGTGATGTATTACGTACCAGAATGGTTGCACAAGGAACTCCAAAGGTTGATTCCATTCTCTGAATTTTGTAAATGTTTCTTAAAATTATTTTACTTTCAGAAAAGATTGATTTCATTAGATGATGATGGCAAACCTTTTTTTACATTTTGAGTGAAAAAATTGGCAAACATTATCAGTTATAATTTTTATGTAAGATTATTCTCAGATATACAGTATTTATTTTCCCCTCTCTTTTGCTCTTGCATACATTATGTAATATAAGATTAGCTATTTGTACAGGAAATTCACTTGTTTATCTCTAATTTTTATAAGATGTGTTATTTGATATGTAATACCACATATAATTAATTATTTCATTTCACAGTATTACAGTGGCATGATGGATGCAGCAGCGAAAATGGTTCGGCAAGAAGGAGCATTAAGCTTATGGCGTGGGTTTCTGCCAACTGTTGCTATGAATGCTCCAAGTTCTGCACTCATTTTCTATTTCTATCATGTGTTTCTTGCACTTAGTAATAACCTTATTGGCGATGGTAAGATCTGAAACAGAAATGTAATTTACTTCATTTTCCAAATGGAATAATACTTTATTAACTTATACTGATATACTAGAAAAAATTACACAGCTTGAGCTGGTTGTTTTACTTAGATAGTTCTGTTCATAATGATAACAAAATAATTTTTTGAAATTGTGTATGTCTTTGTCAAGCAAAAATAGGATTTATAAGTTTATGAAATTCATTTATGTATTCTATTCATAATCTGTTTAAACAAATGATTTACATGTAATAGGGATCTTCTTCTAATTAATGATTATTTGTATGAGTGCTTGGGTGTGTGTATCTGATGATGATTAAAGTCATGATAATAATGATTGTAATAATGATAATGATGATAATAATAATAGCAATGATAATTATTTTAATGATGATGATCAACAACATGATATGGATGATGATATGAATGAAGATTAATGATAGTAATTATGAGAGGGATAATAATAACAATATTAATAATGATATATATATATGATAATGTTAATAATGATAATAATAATAGTAAAGATAGTAAAGATATAATGCCAGTGAAAGCAGCAATGATGATGATAATGATCATGAAAATTGTATTACTAATAAAAGGGATGACAATGATGGTGACTGATATAGGATGTATAGTGTGATGTGCTTTGTTTTTTAATTGGCCTGTCTTTGCTTCTCTCCAGTGAGCCATCTTCCCTGGCTGAGTTGCAGTGCTGTGAGTGGCATGGCTGCAGGTGTGTGTGCCAAAGTCGTTATCTACCCTCTTGATGTTCTTAAAAAGAGAATGCAGATTCGAGGGTTTGAAAATAACAGAAAGCAGTTTGGCAAGGTATGTGATCTTATACTGTGACATGTGTTTTTATAGGCAGATATGTTCTCTTTAAGTTGTACTTGTATTTGTTATGTGGTT